TATTTTAAGATAACCCATTGACTAATTCCAAAGAGGAGTGCTTAATTGACGGAATGCAGAAACGGGTGAGACAAAAGGAATGTTAACCTTTAGAGGAACAATGAAACTGATAAGAATGTGGGAAACACTTGGACATAGTGTCCATCATATCATAAATAAAAATCCGGAAGCCTGATGACTCGTGCAATACACTGTTGTATTCACTCTTTACACGAATTAACTCTTGAATTGGATGCTGAAAGTCAGATGAAGAAACGAATTAAAATTTCGATAAGGATTGCAAGTTGCTCCAAAATAAACTTCATTTCAGTGCATTGTTTGAAGAGTATGTATGGGTTGACATCAGTTTTACCTTGTGATGTGCTTACGTTAGAGGATATTTGTGGTTGTACAAATGAAACAGGAGGACTGAGTGAAGTTGAAGATATTAATTGTTAAACCTTTGAAACCTTAAATAACGTCGGATAAAATAAAAAATAAGGTAGGTAACTTTGTTTTTATTTATTACCTATTTTGTTTTAAATGAATAGTAATAAAAACTATACAATATATAAATAAACAAATAATTAAATAATAAAAACTCATATTTAATAATGAATGTAATACTTTATTGTACACAAAAAAGAAATTTTAAAAAAAATTTAACAGAAGAAGAAATATAGATAAAATTTTTGTTCATTATTATCAATACAATCTAAAAAGACAATACAACTATAACTAAAATTCCAAAATCATTCCAAATATTACAGGTGATTCAAGAAATTCAAATTCAATTAATTCCAAACATTACATTAGATAATTCCAAACATTACAGGTGATTCAAGAAATTCAAATTCAATTGATTCCAAACATTACAGAGAAACTTTACATTAGATAATTCCAAACATTACAGGTGATTCAAGAAATTTTCGAAGAAGCAGCTGTTGAACAGGAGGAATATGAGAGTAAATATATGAGAGGAACAAATAATAGAGAAAAAAAAGGGGTTACAAAAGAAAACTATGCAAATCAAAGTTATAAAATTATAATTTTGTAAAATTGTTTTGAATTAAAAGTATTTAAATTTAAAAAAAAAATTAGTTTCTTAAATTATCAACTAACTGGAAAACTATACTAGATCATTACCAGAGCTAGGATGTCGATCTTCTATAAGTTCTTAATAAGCATGCAAAGGAAAAACAAAAAACTATTACAATTGAGACAAAAAAAAAAAGGTAAAGTGCCAAAATGCAAAAAAAAAAAAACGCTTGCTATTTAAGAATTCGTAAAAATAATAAAAATTAATGAAACGTTTAGATGAAATCAATAACAAATTAATAAAAAACCGGTCCTAATAATATCCTGTGCANCAATATATAAATAAACAAATAATTAAATAATAAAAACTCATATTTAATAATGAATGTAATACTTTATTGTACACAAAAAAGAAATTTTAAAAAAAATTTAACAGAAGAAGAAATATAGATAAAATTTTTGTTCATTATTATCAATACAATCTAAAAAGACAATACAACTATAACTAAAATTCCAAAATCATTCCAAATATTACAGGTGATTCAAGAAATTCAAATTCAATTAATTCCAAACATTACATTAGATAATTCCAAACATTACAGGTGATTCAAGAAATTCAAATTCAATTGATTCCAAACATTACAGAGAAACTTTACATTAGATAATTCCAAACATTACAGGTGATTCAAGAAATTTTTGAAGAAGCAGCTGTTGAACAGGAGGAATATGAGAGGAACAAATATTGGAGAAAAAAAAAGGGTTGCAAAAGAAAACTATGCAAATCAAAGTTATAAAATTATAATTTTGTAAAATTGTTTTGAATTAAAAGTATTTAAATTTTTAAAAAAAATTAGTTTCTTAAATTATCAACTAACTGGAAAACTATGCTAGATCATTACCAGAGCTAGGATGTCGATCTTCTATAAGTTCTTAATAAGCATGCAAAAGAAAAACAAAAAACTATTACAATTGAGACAAAAAAAAAAGGTAAAGTGCGAAAATGCAAAAAAAAAACTATTTTAACGCTTGCTATTTAAGAATTCGTAAAAATAATAAAAATTAATGAAACGTTTAGATGAAATCAATAACAAATTAATAAAAAACCGGTCCTAATAATATCCTGTGCAGAAAAATTAAAGACAAAAAAATGTTATCAGCATCCTAGCCCTTGAAGCTTTACTCGTTTCCCACTTGAAGACACAAATGGGAAACGTGATCTATATAGTTTTTCAGTGTGATGTTGTGATTTGCAGAATGTTCTTTTGCAATCTGTAATTTATTGTTGATACAACGATATTTTTTCGATTGTTGGGGTGGCCGTGCTCTGCCATCACGTAGCATCATAATGCTACCTTCATTCTCGGCCTGAATATTTCGCAACAGTGTAATCATTGCGAAAATATTCAGCCGAGATAGGCACGTTTATTTATTTTTGAGTGCCAC